ACTTTTGTAAACCCCACACCATAGGCGCGCTAGCAGCATGTCCCATCTGCCTACAGTTTTGCCGCACTCACCCAGACTCTAGCTTAGAGCCCACACATCAGCCCTAAGAAATGCCTAGTTTTGTCTGGAAGTTTCTAGAATGCTCCAGAACAGTGTAGTACTAGCGCCCCAGGTAGCTAGCTAAGTAAGCACACACCGAGCACGTTTCCGAGCACTGTGAGGCTGACTTAACTAGCTGAGTAGGGTGCACAAGAGGCTATGGCCTCATGCAACATAATGTTCGAGGAACAAGGACACGACACAATACTCCTTTGCAGCCAAAGAAGGAATGTCGTTAGTAAAGCAATATTTGTTAGGTTAACAATAACAAACATCTACTTAAAACTGATATATTTGCTCTTCTAACCTCACATGACCATATGGAAATATTAAGAATACTTGAAAACACAATAGACAAATATTTCTCATATAACGTAAACGAAAAACCAGGACTTACAGCAAGGAACAAGATAAATTATCAAACCAACTTATAGTCGCTCTCGTTCTTATAAAATATAAAACTAAATCCAAGATTTGTTAAGCCTTACATTAGACCCAACCAATCAGAAACCCAACATAAAATAAAAACTTTCAAGGTCCTGAAAAAGCCTCAATTAAAATGGAAAAGAAAGAATCAACAAATTGCTGACATATACCTTCAGAAGGGTGCTTGGATACAAAAATCCCAATCACTTTTTTAACTCAAATTTAACTCGACCCAACTCTCCTCAATATTAGCAATATAATTAAATAACACCACTCAATCATCCTCGCACATCACATCAACTTTAATTTAAATTTCATCCACTCACATAATTCTAACGACCCATCACTTTCAATCACCTCTCTCCTATTTTTATTTCAAATCAACCTTAATTATCTTATTTTAAATATTATTTTAATACAAACTCAAAAGCCCACTCAAACCTAACTCAATCAACTTCAAAATTAGATTTGGTTAACCAACAAATGCAATCAAAACCAAAATAACTTCCATCCAACCACACCCTCAGCAATAAGAGTGGCCGTTAAGCATTTTTCCACAAAAAGATGTATTTGGCAACCCAATCACACCATTTTTGCTATATTTGCAAAGTCAAACGCATCATAAGGATTACGACGGTAATGGACTTCCAAAACCAACAGTTCATCGAGAAAAAAGATCACTTACCTAGAAAGATTTTGTTTAATTCTAGTTATAATATATGCGATATTCAGGCCATTTTTTTCAATAATACATACCCATGACAGAAGATCCCCATCAACCACAGTAGCTTGTAGCACCAATGAAAAGAAATCCTGCATTGGAGAATGTAAGTAACTGTAAGTTAATTTTGCTTTTTCGACGAACCCTTAATGTTGAGGAGCAATTGAAATTCAAAGTCAGCACTAACAAAATGTAAAAGAATTAAAGTCCAAAATCAGCAGAAAACAATCGTATACATAGGACTGGTTAATCATTTGATTAAGTCACTCGCCTTTATTGATTCTCAAATGTAGAAGAAATACAAATTAATTAGTGGCAAACTTCATGCCAATTTTAATTCAACAAACAATACCTCTATTGGGCACAACAATAGGTTAAGACTTTCGAAAAATATCAAAATACCTGAAGCAAATTGCAGATAGATAAGTGTATTGTAGACTGCAAGTTATTACCTTACAAAGGTGGTACAGAAAACTGTTGGATGATAACCAGGACTCATCCAACAATGCTGACACTATCTCAGGCTTAGCACCAGTATCCTTTTGATCCTTTAGGAATCCATATTTCAGCTGATAATATATGACCTTAATGTACTGCGAACGCAATAAATTTCATGGTTAAAGATCACCACGACTAGGAGAAAACAAAATGAACTGAACGGTCAGAAACACAGTTACGAAAGGTGGAAATCAATTGGAATTGGAAGAGACAGTTGAACCAATAGGTCTAGAATTACAGCAACCATATTTCCCCTATTTAATTTAACATTCCTTTAGTTGTTTTGAATGTCCACAAAATTTATCGTATTTATAGAACGGCAATTTCGACAAGTTCCCTCAAGAAGTAATTCATAATAGTGAGGTATTCAATGCAATAATGAGCTCAGCAGCCTAACTCTGAACACAAATTACTGCCATGTCAAAAACCACATAAGTAATGCACTGAGATCCCAATAGGTGCCAGCATGAACCATCCAATACAACATCTGCTTGATTTCACCACGAGAATTGTAAAGCTTTAATAGGAATCTAGAACATATGACTAAGAGTGGGATTCTCAGAAATACAATAGTAAGATACTACACAAGTACTATTGAGTACTGATGGAAAAGTGCACTCACAATTACAAATCTTACTGTCTGCGGATCTCTAATAAGAATGATGACCTTCTAACTAAGTCAACTGCAGGTATCTATGCACAGTGAAGGCAAAAAGATTTGACAAACTAGGCGTTCATAATACTCAGAACCAGGAGAAAGTCACTCTAATCATAGAAATAACTATGGTCAAAAGTCAAAACATAGTGGAAGGGTAATACACCAATACTTAAATGATACAATGAGGCTGAAGCAACCTTAACTACCACCTTGTCCTAAAATTAGAGATAAGTGAAAAAAACAAGCATAGATATAAGCCTCCACAAAAATACCTTGGTAAAAAGCCGACTCCTAGTGTGCAGGGGCTACAAGAAGAGGAGGCAGAGGTTAGAATTTGCATGAAACCAATTTCATTAGTTTCACAATATGAGGCAGAGCACAGCTAAACGATACCTACATAGAGTGAAAACAATAAGACGTACATATTAAATATATAGATTCTTCAAAAGTAACCTTTCATTTCGTAGAAGCCTTTCAAATTGGAATATGAAAATAAAGTAAAATCCCATGACAAATCCAGATTAAATTATTGAACAGTTGCATATTTTGTATGCTCGAGTTAAGACCCAAAACTTAGTAAACTCAATCAGAACACCAGTCAGAACACCAGTCACCAGAACGATATTCTTGGCTCCTAAAGCAAAATACACTCCTCTTCTTCAAAATGCCAACGTCAAGGACCAACTGTTAGCTGTGAATTAAGTTCAATATCTTTACCATAAATACCCAAAACCCAAAATTCGCACAGACTAGAAACTTAAATTCATACCCATCTTGAAGAACATGAAAAGTAAATAATAGATCAACTGCACTGAATAAAGGTACCAACTAAGACCACTTGTAGCACTACATGCAAGGTAACTAATCCTAAAATTTTACAATAGCAATTCCAACCAGAAAATGAGTATACCCAGTAGCATAATTGGTCCAGGCAATTTCCCATTTTGAGACTCAGGTTTTCCACAAACGGAAAAGGGTTTCTACATTACAATCTATCTATATTGGCATACAAGTCAATTGATGCAAAATCAATTTATCAGAGGATGAAGATTATGGTCCATCACACAAATATGACACCAGAAATGTTAGGCTTCAATGCATGCTTACAGCTTCTGTACATCCAAAGAATAAAGTTACCAAATCCTTCCACTGAAAAAATGCTTCAAGGGATTGGCCCATCTGCACAATTTTGCATAAGTTAACATGTGAGTCAACCAAATACAATTGCCTTCTGAGATTTCATAAATGTCCAAGTTCATATTGTTCAGAAATATATCTATTATGCATAGAAGAAAAGATATACAGAACTCCTCATTACCAAAAATGCGATGAAAGCAAATTGCAATTCAGCTAGCAGCGCATCTTCATCACCTCCATATTCTTTCACCAATATCTTTTCTAACAGTTGGGTCTGAAATAGAGTAAATAAATCAATTTTTGGATCACAACAAATATGAAGACTTCTAGTGAATATCAACTTCCAAATACCTTATCAAGATTCAAATCAGTAAGCTCCTTGCTTGATATGCCCTTGTGCTTCACAACTCGAGGAATTTCAGTGTAATAACAACGTCTTTTTTGGGGTGTGTTTACAGGTGATGAAAATTTGCTATTCTTTAGTTGGCTGTTTAGGGTTCTCTCCGTGGCTGTAATGGAGAACTTTCCAGCAATTCCAGATTCAGAGGAAACTGTGATTTCTCCTCCAATAGGTTCTATACAGTGTAAATCAATAACAAGTTTACTAAACAAGGATAAATATTCTTTGGAAAGAATGCATTCATGATATGATCGGAAACCATGCACCGTAAAAAGGTCAAAAGAATTCTAGTTTCACCCTCTGATTTAAAAGTTGTGCCTCTCGTTCCCTGACAAATGACCATAACTATAAATAGATGCTCCATGATTGAATGAATGATATGTTAATCAATGATTTATTCATATTAAAATGGGTGGCAAGAACTGCAAGAGTTCAACATAACAAGAGACCTAAACCATTTTCGGACTCCACCTCACAGACATGAAAGGAATCCTGGTACAAATGGATACATACTACACGATAATCATATGTTCAAGCTAAGAAATATCCATCAAGGTCGGTTATTTGGTACTTGGTAAGGATCATTTAATTTGTTATCTGTAAGGAATTCATTTCCTGCTGATATGAAGTTGTATTATCCACAATCAATTTACTGATCCTTACGGTACTGCAGTTGACCCTAATCTCACAATCTGCTTTAGAAGTAATAAAAATTCAATTAGAATTCAAAATTACCGACCGATACGCTCAATTGTATCCTTGGTAATGTAGTTGGACAATTGTTTCCAGTCGCCATAGCTCAATGTGTACGATCCGAGGTGTTTATCAAATTCCAATCTTTTAACTGCACAAGAGTATCCCTCTTCCTGTAGGAAAAATACATTAAGAGCGTCTCATTGCAAGAATTATAAGATGGTCCTTCAACGATCTCATACTGTGGTAACATGAACAATATGACCATGAAATTCCTTCGATGTAAATAAGAAACGACAACTGACAGACCAGCCAAATAAAACTTAGATATTATACAGGTTATCACATGTATACAAGATATGGTGGCTTTTGAGCTAGTCAACATGTCATGGGACAGGCCATACAGATAACGTAAGCACTCAAAATGTTTCTAGTATTACTTACAGATGGACATTCACGCCGAGAAAGCAATAAAATCAAGTCAACAAACCAACTGAAAATAAAATGATTTACTTGGTTGCATTCAGAGTAACCAACAATATAGTCGACACTCACCTCAAGTAACAGGAAAATGGGAATGCGCTGGTTCATCACATGTTTAACAGGAAGCTAACAATCAATATCGGCCTAATGATACAACTTCAGTAACAACATTTATAGATTCATATACACCTATAATCAAAGAGTTTCAGGTCTTACGCAACAGCAGATCTCTTAAGACACGGGCGACTTTCTTCACCACTCTACTCTCATTATTTCATCAAAAAATAAAAAATAATAACAAATATTAAAACTACTCACAACATCATCTGACAATTTGATAAACCGCTCCTCTTTCTGATCCCACTTCCGAACAATTACCTGTCACAACCATGCCGGCTCCAAGTTAGCCATGTCAAATGTTTTCTCATCAGATTAGTGAGTTTATTTTATCTCCAAAAATCATAACAGAAAATTAAACTGGAAAATAACTTGATACGAACAAAACAATCTATAATAAGGATATGAAGATGGAGATCAGATCATCAGAACTTAAAAACCCATTCAAGCATATTTCTCCATGCAATTCCTTTTGTACTAACATAGTTACAACATCACATATATTTTAGAAGGATGCTATCCAAGTTGCAGTTCTCGTGTCAGTTGGCTCGCTCTGCATAACAAGAACTTGTTAAACTAGAGACTACAATCAAAGGTACGAGGCAGTAAGATCCATATATTTCATCATTTTTTTGGACAAGCATATCGCTTATCGTTATTAGTTTATTATTTATTTCCTTATTTTTATTGTCATTCGTGTAAGAATCGGGGGGTAACTAGTGCGGTCCACGCACGTGAAGCGCACCATAACAGTGCAAAAGCCCAAGTGAGGTTACATCCCAAAAACAATTGGTGGAAGGAGGAGTAGGCCACTAGGCTTATAATTTACGTCTATTTTCCCTATATAAACGATGTGGGACAACTCACAGTACTATATTCTAGTACGCCCCTCACTTGTAAGTCCTTCATACGAAACTCAAGCCCAAGTAGGCCGGGTCCCAAGCCCAACTGAGCTAGGTGACGGGTACGTCATCGCAGTCTCACATAACCTGTAAGAAATGAGTGGTAAAATGGGTGCAATCCCACGCACGTGAAGCGCACCAGGGAAAGCTAAAGTGAGGTTCCATCCTAAAACCAATTGGTGGAATGAGGAGTAGCCCACTAGACTTACAAGTTAGGTATATTTTCCTTGTATAAACAATGTGGGACAACTCACAAGTGATATTCTAACACGCCCCTCACTTGTCTTAGTGGAACTCGTTCTGATACCACTAAATTGAAGTTTTGATTTAGATTATTTTCAACATTTGGATCACGACAAGCTCCGCCCGCTTCTAATAAGCAAGAGAGGTTTTAGCCCCTTTGTGGTTGCAAGCATCATGATTTGCCTTGGCTTCTATTGGCTTCTATCAACAGGAATGTGTTGATAGAAGCCAAGGCACATCATGATGTTTGCAACCACAAAGGGGCCATAATCTAAATCAAAACTTCCATTTAGAATGGTTTGAGCTAATTTCAGTATGGTTGATGCTATGTATCCCCTAAGGTGCAATTGTGATTTAGTGTTTCCTCATCAAGGCCCAGCAATTTGTTGTAGACTTGGACAGTTGTCCATACAATATTGTATGGGCCAGCAACATGATGATGATAATCTCCTTCTCTTGGATCTCATCCCATTCTCACTTCTCAATAATTTCCGCTCAAGCTCACACAGAGCTTCAGCCATTTCCAACGACCTCGACCATCTGCAATAACAAAATAGAATAGACTTGACAGTGTCTTCAAATAAAGTTGGGCAGTGAAAAATTCGAGCAAAACCAATTTCCTTTGCATTTGGACAAACAATATGGAATTCCTTCACCATCATATCATCCATTTTTTAAATCCGCAACATTCGTGACACCATGCCCCGTATCTCTTCTTTGTCATCGTCTGAAAGTTCGTGCTCATTTGATTGGAGCACCGTGACAAAAATAAAGTTTTTGTTGGTTGTTGATTGTGTTATATAGACAGTTTCATTAGCAGCAGCAAAAATGTCACTGTCTATATAACACAATCAGCAACCAGCAAAAACTTTATTTTTGTCACAGTGCTCCATTCAAATGAGCACAAACTTTCAAACTTTCAGACGATGACAAAGAAGAGATACGGGGCATGGTGTCACGGATGTTGCGGATTTAAGAAAGGGATGATATGATGGTGAAGGAATTCCATATTGTTTGTCCAGAGGCAAAGGAAATTAGTTTTGCTCGAATTTTTCGCTCCCCAACTTTATTTGAAAACACTGTCAAGTTTATTCTACTTTGTTATTGCAGATGGTCGAGGTCGTTGGAAATGGTTGAAGCTCACTGTGTAAACTTGAGCGGAAATTATTGAGAGGTGGGAATGGGAAGAGAGAGATTATTATCATCATGTTGTCGGCGAATACAACATCAGTACTTTATGAGCAACTTTCCAAGTCCACAACAAATTGTTGGCCTTGATGAGGACACACTGAATCACAATTCCTTATGATACAAGCATCAACCATACTGAAATTAGCTCAAACCATTCTAAATGGAAGTTTTGATTTAGATTATCTTCAACATTTGGATCACAACAAGCTCCGCCCGCTTCTAATAAGCAAGAAAAGTTTTAGCCCCTTTGTGGTTGCAAACATCATGATTTACCTTGGCTTCTATCAACAGAATAATGGTTTGAGCTAATTTCAGTATGGTTGATACTTTGTATCCTAAGGTGCAATTGTGATTCAGTGTGTCCTCATCAAGGCCAGCAATTTGTTGTGGACTTGGAAAGTTGTCCATACAATATTGTATCCGCCAGCAACATGACGATGATAATCTCCTTCTCTTGGATCTCTTCCCACTCCTACTTCTCAATAATTTCCGCTCAAGCTCACACAGAGCTTCAGCCATTTCTAACGACCTTGACCATATGCAATAACAAAATATAATAGACTTGACAATGTCCTCAAATAAAGTTTGGGGAGCGGAAACTTCGAGCAAAACCAATTTCCTTTGCCTCTGGACAAACAATATGGAATTCCTTCACCATCATATCATCCCTTTCTTAAATCCGCAACATCCGTGACACCATGCCCGCTATCTATTTTTTGTCATCGTCTAAAAGTTTGTGCTCATTTAATGGAGCACCGTGACAAAAATAAATTTTTTGCTGGTTGTTGATTGTGTTATATAGACAGTGACATTTTTATGCTGAAAGTGTCTGATACGACCCTTGCATCTCAGTTGCATCAAAAATGTCACTGTTTATATAACACAATCAGCAATAAGCAAAAACTTTATTTTTATGTGCTCCATTCAAATAATCACAAACTTTCAGACGATGACAAAAAAGAGATACGGGGCATGGTGTCACAGATGCTGCGGCAGATTTCAGAAATGAATGATATGATGGTGAAGGAATTTCCATATTGTTTGTCCAGAGGGAAAGGAAATTGGTTTTACTCAAATTTTTCGCTCCCCAACTTTATTTGAAGACATTGTCAAGTCTATTCTACTTTGTTATTGCAGATGGTCGAGGTCGTTGGAAATGGTTAAAGTTCTGTGTAAATTTGCGCGGAAATTATTGAGAGGTGGGAATGGGAAGAGATCCAAGAGAAGGATATTATCATCATCATGTTGCCGGCGGATATGAGCAACTTTTCAATTCCACAATGCTAGTCTTGATAAGGACACATTGAATCACAATTCCTTAGGATACAGAGCATCAACCATACTGAAATTAGCTCAAACCATTCTAAATGGAAGTTTTGATTTAGATTATCTTCAACATTTGGATCACGACAAGCTCCGACAGCTTCTAATAAGTAAGAAAGGTTTTGGCCCCTTTGTAGTGGCAAAAAGGCTACACACAGATTTATAGTGTTGATTATGTGGACCGTTTTTCTCCTGTGGCTAAACAAGTTACTGTCAGGTTGTTTTTGTTGTTTTTGTCAGGTTGTTTTTTGCTTTTTGCTGTAAGCTCAACTAAAGGATGGCCTCTATGCCAAATTAACATTAACAATGCTTTCTTACATGTAGTTTCAAAGAAAAAATCCATATAGAGTGTACAATAGACAGTTATGCAAGTTGAAGAAGAGCCTGTATGGGCTCAAGCAAGCATCTAGAGAGTGGAATCAGGAAGATTGTGATAGATTGTTGGCTTATGGTTTTATCCAATCACAAAATGATCACTCTTTGTTCACAAAGTCTACTGGGGACAATTTTATGGTCTCTTGGTGTATATAGATGATGTCCTCATTATGGGGCTAAATTTGCAACTCATTGAAGATTTGAAGTCCTACTTGAACAGAGAATTCACCATTAAAGTCTTAGGATTTGCTAAGTTCTTCTTGGGTATAGAGATTGCTAGAGGAGATCATGGGACTTAGAGAAAATATGTATTGGATATGCTTCAATATATGAAGCTAGAGCATAGCAGAACAACTCCAACACCTTTTCCACATGGTTTGGTGTTAAAGGGTAAGGAAGGTTTGCTAGGAGATTGGTGGGGAGGCTGTTGTACCTCAATCTCACTAGACCTGATATAGCATTTTCAGTTCACCAATTAAACCATCCCTACACTTTTCATTAGGATGCTGCCTTGCATGTCCAAAGGGCACACCATCTTTAGGTTTGTTTTATCCCAGTTCAAGCAGCTTCAAATTTGATGTTGACTGGGAAGCTTGTCCAGTGACTAGGGGTTTTGTATCTTCTTGGGGGATTCACTTGTGTCCTACAAAAGCAATAAGCAATCTACTGTTTCCAACAATAAGCAATCTACTGTTTCTAAGTCCTCTGTTGAATCTGAATATAGAGCTCTCAGCTCTACATGTTGTGAAGTCCAGTGTATATTTCTCAAAGATCTTCAGTTACCAGTGCCTTTCTCTCTGTGACAATCAATCAGCATTGCATATAGTGGAAAATCCAATTTTCCATGAACGGACTAAACATCTAGAAATTGATTGCCATTTGGTGAGGCATAAATTCAAAAAAGGATTGCTTAATCCTAGCTATATTCCTTCTTCTAAGCAGTTGCAGATGGTTTGACTATGTCCCTTGGTGGTCAACCTTTTCGATCAATGGTGGTTAAGTTGGGAATGACAGATTTTCACAATCATCTCAAGTAGGGGGGTGTGTTGAGTTGGTTGGCATATACAGTGTTAGTAGTATGAGTTAGTTGTAGTAGAGTTGTTAGTCTTAGTTGTTTTCCTTTTTCCTCTTTAAGTCGTGTTTTTAGTTTGACAGTATAAATAGTCTTGTTCTGTATTTTGTATTTTTTACCGTTGAACATTTTTAATGAAAAAAAAAAACAGAAGGAGAATTCTCTCCCCAAAATATCTTCATTTCATTTCTTCACAGTTTGTTCAAGTTGACTCTGCATGCGATTATTCAAGGCAAGCAAACGATCCACGTACTGGCCGGGGGACGGGGAGGATGCGGGGGACCGCGCGGTGGGGGCGGCGGTCGGAGATATCGCGTGGCACCCCCCTCCCGATCGCCACCATCATACATCGGCGACGGCGATTTTGAGAACACCATATCCGAGGAGCCCGTTCGGCTATCTGGTGACCCGAGTGGAGGATGATGGCGCCGACGATTAGTGTTAGGAAGCGTCTTTCTAGTCGATATTCCAGATTCTCCGGGGCTTGGATGTGGCAGATTTTTTGGATTGGCTCGCCTCCGCCGAAACTGTCCTCGAGTACAAGGAGGTGCCGGACAACCGGCGTGTTCCCCTCATTGTGCTGCGCGGCAGGGCAGCCACATCCATCTCTGGTAGCTCTCGTATGCTGCTCGCTGACGGCAGCATCCAGGCATACAAACAGCGGCGTCCAAGAGTGGACAGCCCGCCTGTGTTTGATGAGGAACCTTTAGTGAGGGAGGAACACCTTAGCGGCGACGTGGTCCCGGCCCTCATCATTTATTGTTCATGTATGGCACCTCGTGTCTCCTCCGAGGGGTCAGTTCAGCAGGCATTTATAGAGGGGATCGAGGGACAAATGCTCTTGGCGACATTGAAGGAGCCTGAAAATCGTTACGCCGAGATATGCTTCAGCAACTAGAGTTTCGGGCTAAAAGCAACTGGCGTTGTCGGGCCCATCCTGGCATCGGTCACGAATCAACTCACGGAAGTGGACTTAATTGATTGTCACAGGCCGGCCTGAAGTGAACGCTCTAAATGCCACGAAAATATTCTCCAAAGCTCAAGAATGTTCCAACCTGAGGCATCAGAATATTTCTATTTCTAATGCCCTGGGCAAGAAGGGAGCCCGAGCATTCGAGAAGCTCTTGATACTTGGAGGACAATGATTTCCACAGCGGCTGCACAAGCCGTGTGTGAGTTAGTTTCCTTCACAAAAATGATTCTTATTAAGTTGAGTTTATCAAAAAATAAGGACAATGGTGCGGGTTAAGCAAGGCTTTAGGAGAAGGATATGACCAGTTGAGGGAAGTTGATTTGAGTCAGAATTCTATATGGGTTGCGGCTATTCATTGGGAATCTTTTGTGAAAGATCGAGAAAAAAAAACAATGGACGGACTGATCAATATTGGCTAGTGGGTTGTGACATATAGTAGAATTCTGCTACGGGCGACCGTAGAGCCCATTGGAGGCCGAGAATCTTCTTGGTCTCGGCGTATCCCAAACAACAACAGTCGCGCAAAGGTGACGTCGCACATTAGCACTTCAGACGTTCAACACCAAACATTGGTGCGGTTTTGTGGCGACAACTCGCACGAAAACGAGATTGGGTCGAATTCGAGGGCGAATCCTTCTCAAGTGGAAGTGGGGGAGAACGATGAAGACGAGATTACATTGGCCTTTTTGGACAAGCATATCGTTTATCGTCAATAGTTTAATTATTTATTTTCTTATTTTTATAATTCTTATTATTATTTGCTCTATTAGATTTGGTAGGTAATCTTTATTTATTTTTCCTAATCTATTTCTTGGTAGGCAAGTTAAGTTAAGTAATGTAGGACTTTGTTTCAGTTTTATTTAAGAGACTCCTTTCCTTATTTTGAGGGTTGATGGATCAACAAGCCGTTAAAATTTCACTAAGTGGGGTCGGCTATATGGATCACATATCGCCATCATGCTCGATCGAAACACATATCCTCATTCAAATTTAAATATTTTAAGTCATTTTTTATTGTCTTCCAAGTTTTCTTAGGTTTACCCTACCTACTTTTAATTTGCATTCTTAATTTTAATGTTTTTACCCCTCACCCTTTTAATTGTCAATTGATATTGAATAAAAATCAAACGAGTTTGAAAGTTTGAAAAGTTTCCTCTTTGCCTTTCTCATATGCTGCGCTACATCATATACTGTAGCCAGCACTTCCCTTTATTTAATTTTTCTTCTTTCCCTTGCTTTTCCATGATGTAAAATGCAATCACGGCTGATTCAAGATAGTTTGAATCAATAACCATCCTCGATAAGTTACAACGTATCCAAGACACCCATATTCTATTGTAATATCATCCTACAGTTCATTAGAGTACGATAATGCGCCAAACAAACAATCAGACTGAAAAATAGAGTACACATTTTCCCAAGCATATCTTTAAGAGAAAATTCAAAAGTAGAATACATATTAACAAGTATTAAACATAATAGCAATGCACTGGTAAGAAGTATCAAGAGCCACCAATAACATAAACATGTAATAATGCGCATAGAACCTGTGAAGCCTCAGCATTTATGAAGAAACCAACAACCGGAGAAAATTCACTGCCTTCCCTGCAGAATGACGCACAGACACACAAACACTACAAATTAAGTCTTCCATCAAAAGAAAAAGAGAACACATTTTACCAAACTGAAATCAACATTGTCCACGGATAATTTGAATCATTATTATGCTAGCATCATTGTGTATGAAGAAATTTAATTCATACTCAATTTATATTCAAAATTTAACTCAACTTTATCTCAACTCCATTATTTTCAGTATTATCAATATAATTAAATAATATTAACCAATCATTCTTACACGTCAACTTGAATTATCATTCATCTACTCACATAATTTTAACTAACCATCTTTTCATACTATTTCTCTCTTACTTTTATATCGAATTAACTTTAATTATTTTATTTTAAATATTATTTTAATATAAAATCAAAATCTCACTAACCACCGTAACGCTTTTTTTTTTCAAAAAATTAACTCTAGTTAACCAAGAAAAAAATTAACTCTAGTTAACCAAGAAAACTCATTTTGAGTTGATATATAACACTCCCTTAGTTCCAGCTGGTAAACCTTCTTAAAAACATTGATACTAAGAATGACGTGAAACTGGAGAACTCACAACTGTTAAACAAGGGCAATTAAAAAGAGAACGGATCAGAAACGTTTTACCTGAGAATGAATCAGAAACGGTTACCTGTTAGAGGAGCTGTAGTAGATAAAGTGGATGCCAGGCGGAATCATCTTGATACCTTTAAAATTCGGACCGGATGAGTACATCTGCAAACGGTAATCCAGATTCAAACCTATCACCAACTGTAAAACAAATCATTCGGCATGATTCTCACATATCCGAACACAAGTATACCTGTGTGTCGATGCCGATGAGAGTGTGTTGAGGAACATCAAGCAGAAGAAGAGTGGCGCCGTGCTTCACAAGCTCCAAGGCCGTTTCCGCGTCCATTTCCTCCCTTTCCAGATTACTGATGACGATTTTTGTGCTCTCTCTCTATGGATTGGATGGTCAATGTAATCTAGGTTACTTTGGATTTAAAATTTTCTGGTGTTCGGACCACTGAGGATTTGCCTGAGTCTGCTATGCTACAGTAAATTTAGGCGCCTTCGCTCTTTTTAGTCTCCCGCGAACTCGAGAAAACCCTAGGGTCAGGATTTTTGTTTCTTTTTTACGTAACGGGTAAATAATAATTATAAATTAATAATATATGTAAATAATATATATTTGTTTAGAATTTTAAGTGTCATTTTGAGATTTTTTTAAGATTTGATACTTTTTAAAATTGTCAAATTCTAGAGGAATATTATGAAATATTAAGTGTGAATGTGAGATTTAGAGTAAAATTTTGTGTAATGTTTTTTTTTTAAATCATAACTAATTTTATAACGACCTAACAAATTTGGATCTCAAATAAGTTAGATATTTAAGGATATTTTAAGAATTTTTAAATTTTTAAATAAATATTCCAAGACTTTAAGTATAAACTAAATACGCCAGATTTTTTAAATTCTTAAAAAGTTTTAGAAATCCCAAATGAATACACTATCGGTTTATTGTAAATAATATAGAATTATCTTGTATACAGAATATAAAACATGTATGTTTAAAAATTTATAAACATCTAAAACATATGTAAAAGTATTTTTTTTTCTCCAAAACGATAGATATTATTATAAATCAAAAGCGCACAAATGTGCGAAAACAAGCAACCGACGGCTAAAAACACAAAACAACAACAACTAAGAAAAACTAAAAAACTAACAGCCCTCCCCCGACAAACGAGCAGTCCCCACCAGCAGTGAACGATCGACACAATAAGGAGTCCCAGCTCGAGAAACCACTGCCGAAACTACACAACCGCCTATACAGTAGCCGAAACCAAGCCCCGAACCCTTCCCGAATCGACCCACCTCCAACCGAGAGAAAATCGGCCAACCCCCAGCTACCCCTCCCGAACCCGTCTAACACCACTAGCCGAGCCCAAAAGAAACCAGGTCCCTGGACCCCCGCCACCTAACACCACTAGCCGAACGGGGGCAGGGGAGATGGCACGGTTCCTCAACCCCGTCCACCACAGCAGCCGGGACCCCGCCCCATCCTCAGACCATACACCACCAAAACCACCGCAAACCCCGGCAACCAACAACCCAACCCCGCCGTAAGCTCCACCGAAAAATAGAAACTCTCGGAGAGGATGCCAATCGAAGCCAGGAACAAAGAGTTAGAGGGCTTACCACCTGCTATCGAAGGTCCGCCAGCAACTGGGAAGCAAGGCCACCCATCACAAACCGGAATCCGACCAGGTAGACGGCACCTCCTCATGCAATTCCGTCATCGATGGAGAGCCATTCCACACCAAGTCGCAGCAAAATTGGGGCGCACGAAGTCCAACATGGGGTGAGCGGGTAGGGGCGACCGCTGGCCGAGCCCCACCGTCACAAAAGGAGGAAAAACGGCGAAAAGATTGAGCGGCGACGGTTTAGGTTTAATTTTCCCAATTCGCAGAGAGAGAGAGAACAAACACTTATTCTGTTAGAAAAAATTATGTAAAATTATTTAAAATCTTCTATATTATTTTTGAAAAATGTAAAGCCACCTAAAATTTTTCTAAATTATTTTGAAAGGGAAACATGTCTGAGAACACTCTATATAAATAAATAGATACACATAATTAATCCATAAGATGTGTAAAAAAATTGTCCAAAAGAAAAGTACCATTAATTCATAGTATGTGTAAAAAATTTGTCCAAACAACGTGTTGAAAAGTATGAATACGGACTTATCAATTTCAATACATGTTTAAAAATATTTAAAATATGTATTCCTAATATCTAAAATATTATATTCCTAACATAAATAGTAATTAGACATTATGAATTTTATGATAGAAAATTTATATGAGATGATTTTGTATGCATACGGACTTATCAATTTCAATATATGTTTAGAAGTATAATTCCTAACAAAAACAGTAATTAGACATTATGAATTTTATAATAGAAAATTTATATAGAACGTATAAAATAAATATTGAGATATAGAATTATGATACAAAAAGATTTGAAAAAAATTGTTAGGTGCAAAAAGAATTTTGTATATAGTATATACACAAACATCTGAAAAAAAGTTGCTAAATACAAAAAGATATACACGAAGTTTTGAAAAAAGTTGTTAGGTGCAGAAGGGATTTTGTATGCTAAATACAACCAGATTTGAAATACATTGGCCTTGTTTGGTAATCAGCGGTTAGCTGTTAGCTGTTAGCAGATTACATTAGCTGCTTTGACCAGCTGATAATGCTAGCTATTTTGACTAGCTGATTGTATTAGCGGTTTATGAAATAGTGTTTGGTAAAATTGACTATTTTTAATTAGCTGTTAACATGTAGAATTACTTTTAAGGACATCAACATAATTTATCATTTTTATTTATGTTCTAACTTATGATTAAAGCATATTGACTAAGAGCGGCATTCAACCATTAAAACTCAAATCAATGTATAACAACGAAACTAAAAATATTTGATGCACCAATCCTTTAATTCCAATAAAGTTACTGCATATTGCTATGAAACATCTAGATATTTGTTCAGTTGGTTTAAGTTCACATAAAATGCATACCAAGTAGCCAAAATGAAATAAAATATGGCTACATTTTTAATTTTCAAACATGAAGCATACTTGTCTCTCAACTCTCAAGTGCCGAATCAACATCATTATCTTTTACTTCTCCCTCTTCAAAATCATCATTCTCTATCCCAACTTTCGCTTTAACCTGAGCAATTTTCTTGAACATCCTTGGAAGTATAATACAAATGATAAGATATTAATATGACATTACAAGTAGTTCACGAAATTATATAGTTCAAAGAAACAAAAATTATAGTGGTAGAAATTTGAAGAAATAAATAGCATGAGTACAACCCAATTGATGATAAAAAAATTATGTAAATTTGAAGAAGCTAGAACAATAAAGATCCATGTCGTTCATACTTTAGATACCCAAAAACGTTTGATGTTTCGAATTCTGCCATTAACTATAGCAACTTCTTGACATTATACACAAAATTAGAAAACAAATCCAAAGAAGACTCCTTGAAGTATCATATAAGCATTAAAATGTTACTATAAGATACCATGGCAAACTATATTGGAAATAATCATACTAATAATCAAACTTTACATCTCAAAGAGTAAAAAAATATTGATATGGATGACTAGCTAACTACCCTTATCTAGGACCATATATCTCTGTATTCTCAATAGAATCATAGATCAAGCCAAAGCATGTAGTGATATGACACATGATATTAGCTAGGTGAACCGGAAGAGACTTGTTCGGTTTAGCGAACCGGAGCTCAGAGTCAGTGCGGTAGAAGGAGCTCGGCTTTAATAAGGATGCTACTGAAACAGCAGCTCGGTCTAGGTAGCAGCACGAGCTCGGTCTCATAGCCACATTTGTAGCTCGGTCTAATGGACCTTGCAGTAGCTCGGCCTTGTGGACATGGTTGTAGCTCGGTTTACCGAGCAGGTTAACTAGTCCAAGAGACGTTTATAATTCGGAGTTATGCTAAGAGCCGAACAAGTGAGGCAGTTATAAAGAGCAGACTATAAGGGACACGTGTAGCGTCGGGATCAAAACAGAATAAATGATCTGACGGGTGAAGATGGGTGAAGAGAAAAGCGTAGGGAACAAGCTAGTAACTTCATATAAATAGGTAAACCATTAGAGGAGGTAAGGTTAATCATTCTAAAACCCAAAATTCTATACACAACTTCCTTCTATCTTTGATCTCATACTGACTTGAGCGTCGCAGGTTTACCGCCTCCCGGCGTCTTTGCAGGTCTTGGAGCGGTCGAGGAGTGGAGGGAAGCCGGTTCAAGTGCAGAAGCACATCATGCAGATATTCCCCCATCAAAGAATGTCATGAACTTGAATCAGTAGAATCATAGATCAAACCAAAGCATGTAGATAGGCCCCCACCAAAGAATGTCATGAACTTGAATAAAAAGATGACTTCTGATCTTTAACTTCATAAATCCTTACCAGCTTCTCATTCAACTCAGCCTTGAAAAAAAAAAGAATAAATAGAAGGACTTTAAACTCAGATTAATATAATATTCTTATTTAGCTCTGCCTTCAAATTTAATTCCTTCAGTATAATCTAATACTCTTATTCACTGAACACTTATAATACATCGTGACCACTTAGATTTCACAAACACAAACAAGCATCCAGACTTTAAACTTGAGTGAATAACTAAAAACTCTTAATCACCATGAAGAACAAATTTACAGTGATTTAAAATCAAATTTCAAGAAAATGGAATAAAAGGATCACATATTCCAGAACAAAAAATATTAGATGACCATATAACTATAGATAGATGATGACTGGAATTATTATAGAATTTTGGAACATGGTTAAGATCTGAAGATAACGACATCCTTGAAAATTACCTCAAGAACTTTTGAGAATTTTTTGCCTTTGCCTTTTCACATGAAGCACCTTGGCCTTTCGAGTCGTCTCCTTCTGATTTGCCTCTCACCAGAGACATCATCCAGACATCATCCCTGGGGTTTTGCTGGGAACTTTTTGTTGTCGAGCCAGTCCATTATCCATGGATTCATTCACAGTAGCATATAGCATCCAATCTATTCTCCAAGCTATGTTCGGCTAACTAAAAAACAAAACTCAAAATGAACCATAAAAGNACAAAAAATGCAAGAAAAAATTTATACGATTAGGGGTTCTAATTTAAAAGAGTTTTAGTTGAACATACCTCTTGTGGATCTAATTTTCTTCTCTTCCTTTCACATATTTTTTTCGACCATTATGTCGTAGTTGATGCAAATCGGAGGAGCAAAGAGGCCTAATGTTGTAAAATCTGAATGACAGAAGCGAATTGGATAGATGATTAAAGGTTTGGGTTTTACAAACTGAAGGTGAACGTCGATGAACACGAACTTAGGAGAGAGAGAAAAAGGGTAATTAAGACTTTTATTTTTTATTATCTGAAACACTAAATGAAAACGCTCCGTTTAGCAGCGTATTTGATTTTGACGGATAGACCCCAAAACGCTGATCATAAAAGCTGTTCACCAAACAATAATTTTAGCGGATTAAAATGGTCAAAACAGCTATTGGGCTGAAAAAGCTATTTTTGAGGCA